CTGGTTTTGAGAAATAACATAACAGTGTAACAGAAATATATGCCAACCTAATATCTCCTCTTTATGCATTCTCATTTCGTTCTCGTTATCTTCCTGTTTTACAGATTTTGCCCATGAATGACGAAACTCCCGGTTGGTTCACTCTACACGATGGTGTTTCGAAGGTTTGGGAAGGCGTGTGCGTTTTGATCATTGATGAAGAGATTCGACTTTATAAAGTCAGAAATGGAATTATATTCAACATTACTTTGGAGAATTCCAACCTCAAAAAGGTACAATAACACACTAACGGAAATTTTGCCTCAGTTCATCATGTGTAGGTCTCATCCGACGGTTACTGGAGTTGTGTGGAAATTCTAGGGACACTGGAACCAGGACAATGTCTTCTCTTCTACCACGCTGAAACACCTGATAATGCTAGAATCATGCTGCAGGTTCGAGAAGATACTATCTGAAAATTTTTGCATAGCTTTAACATTCAGAACATATTGAATTCCACCAGCAAGCGACTGTCATCATTATCAATTCGGCTTGATCCGGACCCACTACGAAGTCGAAACACAAAGGAAATTACGAGGCGAATCTGCTTGTGGTCCCAACTCGGAATATACTTCTTCAAGGATTTTCGTGTGGTTCTTGATGCAAACATGCCCTTGTGATGTCCTACATCTCATGATCTCTCCGAAAATCAAGAAATGCTTCTACATGCACTTTATGATCAATTTGGCGGGGAAGATGGCGGGGTTTTGAGTGATCTCTCTCGCCTACAGCAATTAATCGTACCACTGAACAGACCGCAGCCATGTGCTCGAGCGCTGTAACATCATTACTTCCTTATGGGAAAAATGTGTTTTTCACATGAATTTCACTTTTTTATTGCAGTTATGTAGCTGTATGTACAAAAATGTCCACGTAAATATTTCTGTTGCTACACCGTTCACAATGAAATTGTCTACCAAGTGCTAGCGTTCAGGGATATAAGTCATCATTTTCGATATGGAGAAAGCGAGCGAAGTTCAAAACCAATTTCAGCATAAGGGAAGTCTAGCTTACAGGGAAGAAAAGTACATCCAAGCTAGTGGGCTTAAAATCTAGGAAGAAAGAATGAAAGTCGAAAGGGCAGGGAAAAAATAGGCCTTCTTTTTTATTAGCAGCAGCCGGTTTCTAGATACATCGCGATGAATCTTCTTTGAAATTTTATGCACTTTTTTTAGAGTAAGGGCTCCATCCCATTTCAGATAGGGTCCGGATCCCACAGGTCAAGTATCAGCATCGCTGGAACGCCTTCCTTACGCCTAAGGCATACCTCACGCAATTCCAGTCGCGGCGCGATTTGGCGACGCTCCAATCGTTCATGACTCATCGTATGGGGTTTACGAATCTACGGAAGATAGTGCATTTTATCAAACTACATAAGGTATACATGTTGTGCATTTGGGGTCGGCCAATATTGAAAATGAAGAGATCTGGCAAAAAATCGCGCGGCGATTGAAATCGACTGAAGTATGCCTTAGGCCTTACTGGATTCGCAATGCACTGCCATAATTCAGTCCAAGGTAGTCGGATATTTTATCCAAGACATCAACTCATTGTCAAACGATGT